TATATTGTTCCATATTTGGAAACCTGAGAATTTTATATCAAATTTGCCGTAGTTTGTGCGAATTTTTGGAAGAGAAAAACTTAAAAAAATCTTAAAAATACCAAGGATTTATGGCCAAGGGAGTGCTCCAGATTGTAGAAAGCATGATCAGAAGCTAAAAAAAATACGAGAGTGAGAACAGTTGATAGCAGAAAAAGTTATAGATGTTGATGTTGAAGAGTTTGGTTGTTGTGAAGATGAAAAGACAGACACTAAAAAATTGGAACAACAAAACTTCAGCAACAAAAGGAAGGAAGTAGACCACGCAGGAAGTAGATGGGAGAAGTTTATAATAAGTGAAATAGAAAGTGAGTTAATATGCATGACTATTTACTTTGATTGTTGTAATATGGATGCATGATACCCTCAGTGATGATGTTTGTGAATATGACATTGTTGAAACAATCAGAAAATAATTAGGAAATCCATAATTATGTCATTTCTTCCATCCTCTATCCTTCCCTTCCTCGATCCCTCATTTCTTTTATACTTTTGTCATTATCTCCCTCCCTTCACATATATATATTTACAACATACAACACTCAACTGACATGTTGCTTTTTTTGGAGATAAAGCCCTCGTGGCAAGGGAGAGAACATCTCATCACTCTCAACTCAGACGCGGACCACAGTGGTGAGAGGCAAGCGGTAAACCGCTTTGCCACCCATGCCACCCAAAAGTCAAGTCATGTCAGTTCAAAGGATTTATTTACAATTGTTGATTGTTTAATGATGAATGGTGGAATGTATAAATATTACAATAACAAAAAAAAATTATTCCAATAATTTTCTGGCAAGCAACAGGACATTGATAATTGGGCAACTATATATTTTTTAGGAAAACAATTGCCCTCCCAAAAAAATGCCTACCTTATTCCAAAAAGTCTACAAATAATTGCCGTTCCTTGAACAATGTTGGGCTAGAATAGAACCCTTGCATGTGACGTCAAAGCAGCTCAATTTGGAGGATAAAACAAACAAAAAAATCAATCTCCTGAGAGGTGGTAACCTATTTTTAAGTTCTCCAATTTGAGCTACATTCTGACAAGCTGTAAAGGGCCAATTGGAAGTTGCCCAGTCAATTCTTTGCCTTACAATAGCTCTTCATTCCCCCAGAGGTTTGTCACGTTGAATTGGGAAAACATTGTCACACCACGAATAAGGTCTATTCAAACCAAAAAGCCTATTTGTGGTATACATTTCTTTTTTATTTTCATTTGAGCCTTTTATTCAAAACAATCGAGAAAGGTCCATTGCTGGAGAGGTTTGGTAACAATGTCTAGTATTTAAATCCCTTTAATTTTTTAACTGCAAAGCTATTATTTTGACTGAAGTTGCATGAAAATATTGCAGACGTAAACAAAGAGATACAATTTTAACTTGTCAAGAAGTAACCAATAAGCAATTAAAAGAGCTCTTTTACTCCGACGAAGGACTAGCGTCCGAAACGTCAGTAAGTTTTTTCATCTTTTCACGGTGTATAATTTACCTTTTYATCATTACTGTTTYATTAGAAACACCGACGCAGCTCACACTAGTTTTTAGCTAGTTATATCTTCTTAGGTCTGAACAGAGACTTTTTCAAGGAAATGATGGCACAATATCAACATTTGGTAAGAATTCTTTAAGAGAGCATATTAATTCATTTCCCTAAAAAGCTGTAAGCATTATGCTATTAACAAGAACAAACTAGGCCAACCATTTATAGAATAAAGCTTATCTAAATGATAATATAGATTTCTTAAAATAAGGTGACTGTACTTTAAGTTTGATCAGGAGAAAGCTTCAATACAACATGGTATGGTATTGGTAGAAAATATATTCACATATTGGGCTCTGTCGCTTTTCAAATATAAGTAAAGTGTAGTACCAGAAATAATCCATACACTCCCCCAATATGGAGCAATTTTTCAAAGACCCCAGCCCTGAAAATTCTATTATCCTGTCATACAAACTCTGTAATATTGATCTCGCTCTCATCCCCCACCCCTTGTAATTTCTGTGTGTGTGTGGTGGTGGGAGGGAACTACATAATATGGAATATATTTTCTCCAACCACTCATCAAAATTTTGTCATATTGCCATCTCAAAATCTAAATTAGTTTACAATGATTAAAAATATTCAGACCCAAATAACCTTTAAAATATAGCATCAAGTAATCAGRATCATTTCAGCTTGCCTCAGTCGAAGCCATTTATCAGGCGCATAGTTCTTTAACACGTTCTTAGTTCTTTTTTCCTTTTGAATAGCTGAATCAAATCATGAATAGTTGACCAAAATAATCTAYTGCCCATGAAGTTTGAAGATTCTTAAAAGTCCTTGCTTAGAAGTCATTAACACCTTGCTTAAAAAAAATTTGTTTTAGATTAATTTATAAGATGGTTAATAAACATTTCTAGTTCTGCTGTCTTTAATTACAGCAGTCAACTGTAACATGATCTTTTATCTCTGCCTTTTCATAATCATTATGACAGTGACATTGATTGACACCTGGTACAAGGTAATTGGTCAGACTGTAGACAAAAGGTCTCTTGGGTAAGGCCCTGAAAACCTCTGGGTACTATTGTCCATGAAGTTCATTGAAAATTAGAAATTAGAAATATTAGATTTGAATTAATCATTCAATTCATTCAATCGAATCCTTTTTTTACAAGTACAGTATTGATATTTCTAGTTAGGCTGTCTTGAATTACAGCAGTCAACGAAAAACAACATGCGAGAAAACATTAATTTACGTCACATGATTGGCTGGTTGTCCTCTTTTAATCATTTGGCAACATGGTGTTATTTATTGACAGCTTGTACATGCTAATTGATTAAACTGTAGACCAGAACTCTATAGCAGAAGCCCACAAAGGTTCCTTGCGTTATGTCCAGAAGACCCCTGGGTACTATTGTGTAACTTGTCTATTTTGTAGAGGAGGAAGAAAGGTATTGTATGACTGGTTTACCACAGTAAATAAAAATTGAAGCCATTGATCAGACGCTTATTTCTTTAACATGACAAGGTTATCCCTAAGAACTGATCTTTGATCTTAATCAAAGCATGAATAATTAACCAAAATAATCTATCTCCTATGAAGTGGAAAATTTTTAGAAATCCTAACTTATTAGAAGTCATCACCATCTGCACACAACAACAACATCTTTCTGTACCTATTCTATTTGGCAATTAGTCCTCCAGCTCGAATTGGCTATTGACTCTTAGGCAATGATGACAAATGTTATACAAATTAGCCAATCAAAAGTAGGAATCTGAGCAATAGAATTGCTACAAATCGGACAAATATCCATGGGTTTAAAMGGCTGAGAAGACTGCCGGCACCTTTGTTGTCGAATCTAACCGTGTCAGCCTGATTATA